TTGCAGTTGCTATTTCTGCATTTAAGTTTCTTTCTTCTGTTACTGGGAATTTGATGTAGATGCGCAGAGGTTTCTGTTTGTTTTAAAATTCCTTGGGGCTAGGAGTTTAGCTGAGTGAGTTCAGTCCCCAGTACCAAAATAAAATTCCTGAAGTCTCAAAATATTTCTGTCTTGCTCGCTGTTGTAATCTCAGTATACACAGAGCTTAATAGGTAGTGTAAATGTGTATTTATTGAGTGGATAATACGGGCTGATTCCAGAAATGGGGAGATTTCATCTTTTCTGTTCCTATAGTCATATGATCATGTGCAAGTTTCTTAAAATATACTGGCTTTGTTTTCTCTCTTTCTTTCTTTTTGTTTTTGAAACAAGGTCTTGCCATGCAATTCAGGCTGGCCTTGGGCTCACTTTGTAACCCAGGCTAGTCTTGAACTTGCATCGATCCTCCTGCTTCAGCCTCCTGAGATTACAGGAGTGCGCCATCATGCCTGGCTTCATTTTGCAGAATAGAGGTGGTACTAAATTACCTGCATTCGTAACATATATAATAAAGGTGGAGTAAAGTAATATAATGTGTTCAAAGTATTTAGCATAGTGCTTGGCACACAGTAATAAAGATCAGTTGTTGTCACTGAATGTATAATTATATACTTTTTGTCACTTTCACTCATTCAGATCATAGTTTATTTCTTAAGAACTTTGAGTAAAATGTTTATCTTATTTATTTACTCACTTATTTATTTTTGGTACTGGGAATCAAACACAGGACTTAATGCTTGCCAGGCAAGTGCTGGGCTGCTGAGCTATGTTTCTGGCCTAAAATATGTATCATAAATGGTTAGAACACAGTGTAATTACGAGAAAGGTCACTGTAGGTTTAGCCCAGGAGTGCTGATTATTTAGCTTATTCTTTCTTCCATGGCCTCTGTCTCTAAGCCCAGTATCATCAAACAAAGTTCAGCTGGAAAAGGAAAATAATGAAATTAATGTAAGTCTATTTTCTCTTCTTAGAAAATATTTATTTAGGTTTACTTATTTTTGTCTTTTTAAGACAGGGTCTTGCTATGCAATTCAGGCTGACCTTCAGCTTACTTTGTAGCCCAGGCTGGTTTCAAACTTGCAATGATCCTCCTGCCTCAGCCTCCCTAGTGCTGGGATTACAGGCAAGGGCTGCCACTCCTGGCTTTGGAAAGCAATTTATTTTATTTAATTTTTTATTTTTTTGGTGCCAGGGATTGAACTCACAACCTTGAATTTGCCAAGCAGGCACTTGCACTGCTGAGCTAAACCCCCAGCTTTGGAAAGCAATTTAAAAATATGTCACTTTGCTGATGTATTAGAAGAATCAACTTTATGTATGACAGATAGCATAAAGTAATACTTATGACTGACACTGCTTTTTTTTTTTATTATTTATTTTTAATCGGTACCGGGGATTGAACTCATGACCACGCACCTGCAAGGCAGGTGCTTATGCCACTGAGCTAAATCCCCAGCCCTAGCCCGAAACTGTTGTTTTTTAAAGAACTACAAATGTGAAACATTTTTCTAATCCCGATTCTTGGTCAGAGGTGGATCAGAATGTTCATGTAGATGTAGGTAGAAAAATAATACCTACGGTGAGTAGAGGATACAGTAGTCTTCATCAAAGCCCGCGGAGGGCGGGGAGTGTAGCTCAGTGGTGTGGTACCTGCCTGGCAAGTGTAAGGACCTGAGTTTGATTCCTGGTACCAAAAAACCTCTAACAAAACTGAAGCCCATTGGATCTGCTATACTTGGGAATTCCAAAGTTTTTGGATTTTACAAGAATAAAATCATGTATTACATAATGCCTCTTAGTGGGTCTGCAAAGTTCCTAGTAGTCAGACATTCAGTGTTTCTACAAAGAAATGCAGTACTTCTGTATTTTGTGAGATAAAGAGAACATAGTTTTAAATCTTGAGGTTAGATTTCGCTACCAAATGAATTAAAAGCCTATGAGAAAGTTTTTCCAACCGTAGCAGCTTTTGTGTAGCATAATGTTGCTGTGCATGATGGTGCATGCCTATAATCCCAGCACTTGGGAGACTGAGGTAGGAGGATCACTGAATTCGAGGCCAGCTGGGTGGCATAGCACTACCCTGCTCCTTGCCAAATTCTATTAATTATTTAGCATAATGTTTCTGAGATTCATTCACGTGGTTGTATTTATTAATAATCCATTCCTTTTTTGAAAATACATTGTAAATTTTATTAATACATGTTGCTGTTCGTGAAATTTATAGTCATCTTAGGGAGTGGTTACGTGTACATATTACAGCCTTTTTTTTCTTTTTTAAATCCCCTTCCTCTTCCCCTCTCTCATCTGGTTCCCTTGTCCCCCATTTTTGTACCTGTTGATACTATCTGTCTTAGCTCATGTTACAGCTTGTAGTGTTTACATTAATTGGTGATACTAGGTTCTTGTATATGGCACATCTTTCTCTCATCTTGTGAGAAATTTAATTTGTTGTATGAAAGTTTTTGGTTTTCAGGTTTGCAGATGAGTGATTGAAAACCTCATTTGCTTAAACATATGTAATGTTGTTGAAATACTTGATTTTTTTCTTTTGTTTTGTTGACATAGAGTTTCACTATATAGCCCATGCTGGCTGCCCGAGTGCTGGGATTACAAGGCTGTGCTACCATGCCTAGAGAAATTGTTGCTGAATAATAAATTTTAAGTCAGTATTTTCTTTTCTAACTATTTACTGTTTTAGTTAGCTTGAAATAGGTTTGTAGTACCTTAAGATCAGAAAGGAACTATAAACCATGAATTATTAAAACCTTTATAATCTGTTTTTAATTCCTATTGAAATTAAATTTTTATTAATGAGGTACTGACTTAAAATGATCATCTATATGTTGTCAGAAAAAAGTTAAAACTACTGGGGCTGGGGGTTTTTAGCTCAGTGGTGTAAGTGCCTGCTAGGCAAATGCGAGGTTGTGAGTTCAATCCCCGATACAAAAAAAAAAAAAAAAAAAAGTTAAAAGTACTGTTTTAGGTCTAAGGTCAGCCAGTTTAAAATAGAAAAATGATATGACTTGAAGCCTGTACCTCATTTTCTGTTTTAAGAAATGTAATACTGTGACAGTTTTTCTCTTTTCTTCTTGTGAGGTGCGCTGTGAGGGATATGCTCTAGGACTTTATATTGGAGTGTACTGTGTTTTATAGATTTGTGGGATGCCTAGTTTTCTTTTTTCTTCTTAATATATTTTTTCCAAATCCATTTTATTTCAAAGAGAAAAAAAAACCCCAAAATTTCAAAACTTAGTCAATCGGGGCAACAAAGGTACATATGTTGTGCATTGTCGCTTGCAGATCATTCACCTAGCGCACAGACATTCGCATTCTGTTATCTGAACAATATCATCACAAATCTTTCTTTTCAGTGAACTCAGAGAAATCATTAGTGTAACTATCTTAACTATCTTTTTATATACATATTTATATACATAAACATTTGTTTCAGCTTCTCACATCAGTGAAACTACGATGTTTACACATGTGTCTTACTTCACTTAGGATGTCTAGTTTTCAATATTAGTATTTTGGAAAGTGGAATGAGTTATATGTATTGTTGGCCAGGTGGCTTTTGGAAATAGATCGTCAAATCCAAAATCAAAACTTGGCTTTTAGAACTTCACAGTGATAGTTATTGACTTGGAAGGAAATCTAAGTGATACTGGTAGAATACTCTTGTGTTCCGAGGAGCTAAATGGTTGTGAATGGCAGTGGAGGTAAATGGTCGCTGTACACACTTTCCATTGCCTGAGAGCTCATGGCATTAACTCTTCTGTGGATTCTTTCCATGGAACAATTCTTTGTGGTGTAAAGCAGAAATTGTTGAATCTGAAACAAAAAGTGATACTTAAGTGCCCAACTTCCACTGTGAAGTAGTTTTATTAATGCCTCAGGTAATTTGTTTTGCTTGTATTTTTTAATTTTCTATATATAAAAGGTGATATGTAATAAAAATTATGTCTGAAAATTCTTTCAGCAAATAAAAGTAAAAATGATAAGAAAAGACTATCATAATTTTTCTTTATTATTGGTATATGTGATTATGTCCAAATGTAGTACAGTAAATGAAAGTTATATTAAATGCAATATGATTATGTGAAATGTATTAGATAAAATACAAGATTCAGTATGTACCAACTTGAACTATTTGGCCAAAAGCTATAGGTGGTGCTGTTGCTTCTCACCTAATTTTATTCCTCTATTTATTTGGATTTTTCTGAGACAAGATGTGGTTCAGTCTCACCTTGAACTGACTGTGTAGTCCAGGCTGGACTCAAACTTACATTGATCCTCCTGTCTTAGCTTCCTGAGTGCTGGGATTTCAGGTGTGTGCCACACATCTGGTTTGTTCCTCTTTTAATATTAGATGTTTCCTGTTATGAAAGAGCCATATTTTTTTCCCTTTTTATTATCTGCCTGAAAGCTTTTGACTCTCGAAGGGATTGGCATTGGATAGGCTTATGACCATAACATAGATCTTAATTCTGAATTTTCTTTCAGAATTCACTGTTAGCCATGCGTGAATCAGGCAAGTAACAGTGTTCATGTGACAGACTGTGAGATACAGTCAGTAAGACCGAGAGAGCTCTTAGGAGAAGTGTAGCAGAAGGACCCTTTCCTACTCTCCATCTGTCTGAGTAAATGCTAGAATGGTTTTGACTTCTGTCAGACCCTGCACTTTCCCAGACCAGAGTTTCCCATTGGAAATTTGGGGCATGTTATACACTTATGATAAGAAATTGTACATTTCTAGTCAGGACACACATATAAACAGTTACTGTTGAAAAATAAATGTTTGCACAACAGTTGATGTCAGGCAGTTCACAGTGCTGTCATAGCTCAGGAAGTGGACAGTATGCTTGTGCATGTGTCTTTGTAGGAAGAACCACTTGAGTTAGCTGGCAAGTCCTTGCCTTAGTATCATAGAAATTCATTGTGAACCTATTTTATTTTGTAGGCCGGAGCATTGGATTTGCTGAAAGAGCTTAAGAATATTCCCATGACTCTGGAATTGTTACAGGTATGTGCTTATGTGTATTAGTTTTTGAATGGGAATTTATAAAATACTAAAATATCTTTACTGTTGGTATGAGGATTTAGAACTGTCCCATTATGGTATGAACTGTCTTTAACTTTTTTTTTTAAGATAGTATAAATCAGTACTCTTCTAAGATGCCATTGTAAAAATTTGTCATCTTTCTCAAGAATAAAATTTGAGGGCCGAGGATTTAGCTTAGCAGCTCAAGCGCTTACCCGGGAAGTGTGAGGTCATGAGTTTGATCCCTGGTACCAAATGAATAAATAAATAAATAAATAAAATTTGAAATTAGGGCTGGCAGTGGGAGTGAAATCAATCAATCAATCTATCTATCTATCTATCTTTCTTTCTCTCTTGAGACAGATTTTTGCTGTGCAATTGAAACCAATGTTGAACTTACTTTGTACCTAGGCTGGTCTCAAATTTGCAGTGATCCTCCTGCTTCAGCCTCCTGCGAGCTGGGATTGTAAGTGTGCGCAACCTTTCTTGGCTGCAAGTAACATCTTTGAGAGGATTTTGAACTTGCAGCCATGATTTGGTCTCCCAAAATTTCATTTTGTTGGTTTGTCATCTGTGGCTGCTGCCAGCGTGAATCTAGCCTTGGTTAGGTAAGGATGGGAGGCATTGCTTTGCTTTTTTAAGCCCTGCATGTACACAGTGGAATGTCTAGTAGACATTACATAGAATAGTGAAGTCTCTTTTTAATATTCTGTCGAGATTAAAGCACAAAGCTGGGTTTGATGACCTTTAGTAATTCTAGCACTGTGGGAGGCTGAGGCAGGAGGATTGAAAGTTAGAACCCAGCTGGGCAGTTTATTGACTTAGTGAGACCTGTTTGAAAGATAAAGAAAAGGGGGCTAGTTATGTAGCGCAGTGTTGATTTGATTCCTAGTACGACAATACATACTTATATAAATACATACATGCAACTTTAATAAAAATCAAAATGCTGAAGAAGAAAGTAAATCTAGTCAATAACATGAATCTGTTTTCATTAGACATAGCCTATAAATCCATGAGTGTCTTCCTTAATATTTTTATTTTAGTAAGTGAAAATTTAGGAATGAGCCACATGGATATGAACATGGTTGGGAAAAAAGTCACATTTATTTTCACTAATGTCTAACTGAAATTGAACTTTAGTCAATTATGGTTACACATGTATTAAAATCCCTTTTTGCTTACTGTAACGGAGCTCTTGTACCTTATATTAGATCTTATTTAATGTTATGATAAGAAAACAGGTATATTACTATACTACATTAAAAATATTTCATAATTACATGTTATATAATTGGTTTTCTTTGTAATATCACTATGTATTTTAGTCAGTGCATTTTAAGAGCATTCTCAGAAGAGAGTCCATAAGCTTCACCAGATTGCCAAAAGGGAATGAGTCACCCAAGGTAGGAAAAAAGCAAGAAGGAAAACTGAGAAAACAGGTGAAGAACTCCTCTAAAGATAGATTCAAGAAAGAGAAAGGAAGCAAATTTTCCCACTTCAGTTCCTGCCCAGGGGTCAGTAACTTTTTTCAGTTGCTAACAGTCCTCCCCACCCTCACCCCCAAGAAAAGAAAGAGCTAGTTACATTTGGGCTTGAGTATAGAGGCAGGATGGCATGTAAGATGCATCCTGAGAGCAGTACTACTAAAAGGTACTGAGAGGCAGGAGAGTGCATGGTTACATTTGTTCACTGGAAGAAGTGGGAGGCTGCAGACAGGAAGACTTGTGGACTCATGCAGTTATTTTAGTGAGTAGGAATAAGGATTTTTGGGGGGGGAGGGGTACTGGGGATCCAACGATCTCGCACTTGCTCTATGCAGGCACTTGTACTGCTGAGCTAAATCCCAGCAGTAATAAGGATTTGAATTAAGATATTACCATTAAAAATGGAGAGGGGAATTTCTTGATCATGATGGACAACTTGCAGGAAGAGATAGCTGATTAGATGGGGGTAGAGGGAAAGAGGAATTTAGGATGACAGTGCTTTTTTTTTGCCACTGGCAACTGAACTCAGGACCTTGGGTTGCCAGCCAGGCACTGTTCTGCTGAGATGTGCCCTAGCCCAAATGACAGAGTTTTGCGGTTGTGGCTGAGTACCTGCCACCATTAAAACGCATATGAAAATCCAAGAAAGGTGATGTGAGGTGGAATTGGTACGAGAAAAGAAATAAAAATGGCAGAGTAAAGAGATACAGGGTAATTTGGGATACATCTGGATTGGAGATGCTTGTGAAACCAATATATGCAGATGTGTAAGGGGTAGGTCAGTATATCTTCTGGAGCAGTACTGTCCAGTAGAACTTTTTGCAGTGATGGAAATGTTTGATGACTGTGTGTCTACTATGAGTAGACACACAGTCATGGGTAGCTTACCAACCCATGAGTGCTTGAAATGTGACTGAAGAACTGAATTTTAAATGTTATTTAATTTAAATTTAAATAGCATGTGTATAAACATGTATGGAGTGTTGGCAGAGGGACAAGTTTGGAAAATATTGAGAACTTAATAGCATAGGGATGGGTTAGATTTTCTTAGGAGGAAGGGTAAAGTAGTGTTGGATCTAGCAGACTGGTTATATTAAATTAGAGTTGAGCAGTCATTTGATGTTTATAATTATACAGGCAGCAACAGAGTAGAAGGCTAACTGGTGTGTGTTCAAGGTTAGGAAGTCAACAGGAAGATGGATACTACTAGCAGGACTAGTTTTGTAAGTTTTTTTTTAATGTAGTAGACTGACTCATTCAGTAATTACTAATCAGAGTGCGTGCATCAGACATTCCACATGCTACGTGTAGTGCAGAGTAAGACCAAGTCTCCACCTTCATGAAACTTAGAGAAAGGACATAAGCATAACTTATATGTTCCTTTTTCCTTTTTTAGTGGCTTATTGAAATAAAATGCACATAACATAAATTTTCTCCTTTAAAATGTGCAATTTTTTTTAACTATATTAAAGGATCCTGCTGCCTTCACCATAATTAATTTTAGGACATTTTATCACCCTCAGAAGAAACCCCGTTCCTTTTAGCAGTAATTCTCCATTTCTCCCTTCCTTCCACCGTAGCCAACGGCTAATATGCTTTCTATTTGTATGAGGATTTGCCAATTCTGTAGAGTTTATGTAAAGGGAATCACCATAGTATGTAACTTTATATGTCTGGCTTTTTAAAATTTTCTTTATCTGAAAAGGAAATAAAATAAGACAGTAAAATGAAACAGTACAATGAGAATGATACTGGACTTCAAAAACAAGACAATAGGAAATCCACAATAGTTACTCTTTGCATATTGTTATCCTCTAAATAGATGCTCAGATTACCAGCTTTAAGTCTGCTAAATTAATCAAACAATACAAACATTAAAAGTCTTTACTTTCTTTGCTATCATCTCAGTCTGTATTCCTCTGAATCAGCCAGTTTGCGGGGGTGGCAGGTGGCGGGCTGTGGATCTTCTCTCCTTGCCCTCATGCCTGCTAACTCATGGGGAGGGTTGCAGCTTCCTGGTTGTCTCCTCACTGGCTCAACTGCTCTGCTTCTTTCACTTAGCATGTTTTTTTTCAAAGTTCTTCCATCTTCCAGTGCGTAATAGAACTTCATTCTTTGTTATAGATGAATAATGCTATATTCCATTACATGGATACCACATTTAATCTTTGTAGTTTATGGACATTTTGGTTTGTTTTTGGTTGTTACGAATCATGTGGCTTAAAAACATCATGTGGCTATTTGTACAGGTACAAATTTGTGTGAACATATGGTTTTGTTCCTTTTGGGTAGATCCCCAGCAGAATTGCTGGATGATATGGTGGCTATGCTTAACATGAGGACCTGCAGACTTTACTCAACCGGCTGTACCATTTTACATTTCCAATAGCAATAAGGATTGTAGTTTTTGTACATCCTTGCCAAAACTTGTTGAGATTTTTAATTATAGCCATTCTGGTTGATGTGAAGTGATGTTATGGTTTTGATTTCTATTTTCCTGATGACTTCATGATATTGAGCATTTTTCATGTACTTCTTGACCTTCTCTGTATTTTATTTGGAGGAATAATTTATTCAGGTCTTTTGTCCATTTTAAAGTTGAATTACCTCTTCATTAGTTATAACAGTTCTTTATTTAGATTTGGTCCCTTATCAGTACAGCATTCACAAATATTATATTCTGTGGATTATTTTTTTACCTTCTTGGTGGTTTTCTTTGAAATACAAGTTTTAACTTTTCACATAGTCTAATTTATGTATTTTTGGTTGCTTGTGCTTAAAAAAACAATAAAACAATGTAGTAGCTATATACTTTTTACCTTAATATTTAGTGGTTACTTTTATATCATGGTAAAAATTCATGAGTGATCATGAAGGGAGTCTAGAGTACTCCAATCTGCTCATGTCCTGTAATGTTAAAGTAATTTTTTTGGGGGGTGAGTTACCAGGAATTAAACTCAGAACCTCACATTTGACAGGCAGGTGCTGTGCCACTGAGCCCAATCCCCAGTCTCTATAGTAATCTTGATTTTAGTACTCATTCCTTTCTGCTTTCCCATCAGTGTGTAGTTGATTTTGAGTCTGCTTAACATGTCACACTTTTCATCTTTCCAAGGCAGTGTCCGTCCTTCGGTATCGCTGAACCACATACTTTCTCTGCTAGAATTTCATCATATATATGATAGTTCATCTTGAAAACTTCCCTCAGTCATGCAGTTAAGAAAGCTGTGTAACCACAGTTCTCAAAAGTCTTGTGCTCTTTTATAAGCTCACCTGTTATAAGTTTTAGCATACCAGCTTTAGGAAAAACTTCTGTAGTGTAAAGAACTTTGAGAGGCAAATTCAGACTTGGTTATCCAAGGAAATAGCATCTTCATCTTTTCCTCGATGTGCTTTTCTTCTGTTCTCCCTGGAGTACTCTTAAAGGAGAAAGAAACACACTGTAAATCTTATTTTTACTCTACCCCATTAACTGATTTCTTTTTTCCTTTTTTTTTTTGTCTTTTTTGTTTTTACCGGTACCAGGGATTGAACTCACGACTGCTTGCTTGCAAAGCAGGCACTTATGCTGCTGAGCTAAATCCCCAGCCCCATCATTAACTGATTTCTTATTTTGAGTAGATAACTTCTGCCTTAGGTGAACATGTTTATTACAAATAACTATTAGTGTGGTTTTTCTTCGGTGCTAAGTGTGATAATCGTTGGTTTTAGTAATCAAAACATCATGTAGCAGTTACAGAGCAGTCACATACGATTTATTCATTTTGTCTTTATATCTTTGCTTTCCTGCAAGCCCTTAATAAAATGCCATTTTCCTTGCCAATCTATGTCAGTCTTAAGCTTCAGAACTATATTAATACCTCAGAAGCCATTACTCCATTCATTCAAAAAAAAGGTTTTCTTCTAGAAGACTTTAATTTTAAACCATTTTAAGCATTTAAAATTGTGGAGTCCCTGTTATTTTTCTCCTATCTTACCTGCTTTATTTATCTTTCCAAGAGATGCAACATACGACACTCTGGTCAAGCATGTGTTCTAAATTCTTAATAAAACTTTGCCTGAATCTTTTTGCCAAGAGTTGAATAATTTAGAAGGAAACCTTTACTATCTATTTTTCTTCCTCAAAGCTTACAGCAGGGGTTTTCTTTCTATTTAACCACTGAGAATTTCTTTTGTTCTTTTCTTCCATAGACCATGTCTTTTGAAAGATTGTCTACTAACAACCACAACTTATTAAATAATGTATGGCTTAAAAAATTTATCATCCATAATTGGGTGCTATAGCTTTTGTGTTCTTTGAGCACAGTCTGAAAATCATTGTTGGAAAGAGACAGCATGGGCTTTGAAGATGGCTGCACCTAGATTAAGATCCCTGCTTTGCCATTTAGTAATGGTGAATGCTGGGCAAGTTATCTGTTGGTACTTAACCTTTTTGCTCGTCTTTAAAAATAGGTGTAAGCCTCTCAACTTTGAAAGGTTTTGAAAAGATTAGTGAACGTGGGTATTCCCAGGATGTCCTGGGTGTGTATTTTCCATTTGGTAAGTATTACCTATATTCTTTCAGTTCATCATAATATCTCTTAGCCATATGTTAATTAGAGCCCCCTAAATGCCTTTTAAAACTCTGTAGGTAGCAGAGGTTTTTATTTAGATAGCTTCATTTTATAAGTTGTATCAGGTGCTTTATGAAATAATACAAATAATATACAGAAACAGGTGCATGTACAATTCATGACTGTATCAAGTATATATTTTTGTTTACAGGTGTACATTCTATGTTTTATCTCACTTCTGTCTTGTGGAAAGTCTGATCTCATCTCACTAGTTAACTGAGCTCATTATAGGAACACATCTCAGGCTTCAGATCCCTGAGTGGCAGAGCACTGGTGAATCTAGTGTTTGATCTAAAGGAGTATGTACCTTCGTGTATAGGATGCTATTGTAGGAATTCAAATCACTGAGGTTTTGTTTATTCTAAAGTAAGCAGGAATCTGAGAAGAAAGTGTGAAATACTAAGTTGTTTGAAATAAAACTGGTGTACACATTTTGTTATTGTTGCCTTTCAGTCCACAAGAATCGGAATGTCAGTTAATGCTATTCGCAAGCAGAGTACAGATGAAGAAGTTACATCTTTAGCAAAGTCTCTCATCAAATCCTGGAAGAAATTATTAGGTATAATTGATATTCCTTTACATATGTTTATGACATTCTGGTTTGTTTGAGTGATGGTTGCATTTTTTTTCTTCTGTATGAATATATGAAATTAATGTGTCCTAATAAAGATAAAGGGAAGTCAGGTGTGTGGTGGTGCGTGCACAGAATCCTAGCTCTGGGAGACGGAGGCAGAAGGTTCACCATGAATTTGAGGCCAGCCTAGGCTGGACATGGTGAGTTAGTTCAACGACAGTCTGAACTACATAATGAGATCCTGTCTCAAAAAGACCAAAATAGAAATAGAGGAAAGGAGAGAGAGAGAGACAGAGACAGAGAGAGGGAGAGGGAGGTGGAGGGAGGGAGGCAGAGAGACAGGTAGGTAGGTAGGTAGGTAGGTAGGTAGGTTAGAGGGTTAGGTTAAACACATTCCTGGTGGCAGGTTCTTGGTTCAGTCCCCTTGGGTAGCACAGTGAAACAGTCATACATGTTTGGCCCAGCATGAACACGTTAATATCCTTCAAAGTTGATTTTTAGGCTAGTAAATTAAAATCTCTGGATTTGACACACTTAATAGGGTAAGCTTTTTAAGAATTTTTTTGCAACAGAAAAATTGCATATACTTTTTGAAATAGTTTTTGAAATAACTTTTCTCTTTTTGTTTTTTTCTTTGTGGTACTGCAGATATAACTGATGATCTTGTACTTGCCAGGCAGGTGCTTGTGCCACTGAGATGTATCCTCAGCCCACGTTTTTGTTTTTGGTTTTTTCACTTAGTACACATTCATTTTAGTAGACTCATACAGGCACATAATATATAGTACATCAAACATTCTTTCTTCATCCTACCTGTCCTACCGTCTCCCCTGTTTCATTTTTGGGTGAGAGGTTTTAATGTGAAATTTTTTTAACTTACAGAAAATGTGCAGTAGTAATAAAAAGAATTCATATTTTCTTTGTTGAAATCTTTAAAAATATTTAACATTTATTTTATTATCTTTTTGTTATTTTTCTGATCATATGAGAGTGGATTGGATATACTGTTTTTTTATTCTGTAATACCTAAACGTGTATTTTTTTAAGAACAGGCTTGTTTTATTAATGCAACTATAGTATAGGAAATAAAACATTTGTCCAGTTCTGTAATCTACATTCCATGTTCCAGTTGTGTCAATTTTTCCAGTAATGTCCTTCATAGATTATGTTTTTCTCCTTCAGGACAAGATCCAGTCTAGAATCACATATTTTGTTTCCTAATCTGTAATTCTTAAATCCCACTCCGCACACTTTTTCTTTTCTTTTCTTCTTAACTTTTTATGGCATTGACATTTGACGAATATAGACACCTTTTTTCCCTCATTTTTAGTAGCTTGTACCTTCTTTGGGCTTTATCTGTTATTCTCTCATGATTGGATGAGGTTGTTTGTATATCCACATTTAGTCTTCTATTGAAGTCTGTTATATTCTTCTCAATTTATAAAGCCCAAACAAGGTGTACACTATAGAGTTTATTTTCTTTTTGAAGCAAATAGGTATTTTGTGGGAGATGCTTTAAGATTAGAAAACCATTTTGCTCTTTATTAGCACTTCTCACCCAATTTAATATCTGCTGATTTTATTTGTTTAGTTTAGTTTAGTTCAGTTGTTTGGTGCCAAGGATTGAACTCATGACCTTGCACTTGCCAGGCAGATGCTTGTGCCACTGAGCTAAATCCCCAGCCCTTTACTGATTTTTTTTTTTTTTAAACTAAACTAGTCTTCACAAAATTGTAGTTGCAAAATTGTGGTTTCCTTTCCTTATTTCTTTTGGTATTGAAGAATTGAACCTCATGACTACATGGCTTTCATACTGGGCTACATCCCCAAGGGACACACACACACACACACACACACACACACACACACACACTCACACACACACATACACACACACACACACACACACACACACACACACACACACACACTAAATGGGCTAAGTTGCCCAGGCTGTATGGCAGCTTGTGGTCATCCTGCCTCAGCCTCCTGAGTGTCTGTGATTACAAGTGTACCACCACATCTAGTTTATAAAATTATGATTTTTCTGACTCTTCATTTCTATGTGTTTATAAGTCATCATTACAATATAAGAAACCTTTGTCCTTTTACTATCTTTAACCCCTAGTTGTGTATTATTGTGTACTTGTGGTTTCCTGTTTTATATGATGGGTTGTAATCCATTATATTTCATATTTATTTTAGTATTTACTTTGTCACCCCTTCAAACTGGTTTCTGGCTCCTTTTGGAAAGCCTGCTTCAGTATGTTGATCATTCTCTTAATATTCTGTAACTACCTTGGGCTAATAATCTAGCTTCCTGGCTATAGCCTGGAATCAACCATTTCTTTAAGCAGCTGTTGAACTTTTATGGAAGAAAAAAATAGGAAAAGTGGATCTGTTGAAATTTCAAACACAATGGTAGAATATAAATCATTGCTTGTAACAGCTTTGAAACAAACTAAAAATTATAAAACCTACAAAATTTAAGGAATCTCCATGCTGATTTCCAGTTGTACTAATTTATGTACCCATAAACAGTATGGAAGGGTTCCTTTTTCTTCTATCGCCTCTCCAGCATATATTTGAATTTGATTTCTTTAAGATGGCCATTTTTTCTGGAGTAAGATGGGATATTAGTAATTCTAATTACTTGAAAATAAAGAATGAAAATTAAATGAACTATACATCTGGTTTCCATGTGCCTTTAAAAATCAGACTCTGAAAAAACTTTATTCTGAAACAGTTTCAAATTTTCACAGATGTAGTAAGAATAGTACCAAGAACTTTCATATATCATGTTACAGAGAATTCCCTATTAACACTGGTACATTTGGTTTCTCATTCCCTTCTTCATTTTGCTATAAACAGACATATTTAATGACTGTTACAACTAATGTCTTAATTAATACCTTTCTGCCTAAGGCTTTTTCTTAACTAGATTTACTACTGATGCTAGTAGGTAGCACATTTTTGAATACTTAAGATATTCTAAGTAATCACCTTTATTATTTAATGCAGTTTTCACTACAGCACACTGTGGTTGGTTTTATTATAGTCCCCATTTTAGAAGAAAGTTGAACTGCTGAGCAGTACCATACTTTGCATAGAGTTAGATCAGTGGTGAGTAATACCCAGGCTGGGCTCTCACTACATACGGTTTTGAGTCCAGAGCTGGAGCCCTTCATTCCCAGCTGGCTGTGCTGTATTGCCTACAATACTGTATCAGATAGTAGGGGTGGTTTTAAGTCTTAAGTCTGCTCCCAAAATGGGTTGTGTTAATTCTCTGTGCCAAACAGTGTGGGAAATGTTTTACTGCTCTTTTTTTTTTGGAACCTGGGATCAAACTCACGACCTTGTGGCAGGTGCTATGCTGCTGACCTGTATCCCCGGCCCTTACTTTACTGCTCTGTTGACAGCACTGAATCCTTGCTAGGTCACTGTTTTATCATTTCCTGTTTAAAATGCTTCTACTCTATTATTTTTGGATTGTCTTTTAGTTTTTACTGTATTTTTATTATTATGAGGCTTTAAAGATGAATTATAGAAAATAACAAGAAATACAATCAGCATGTGAAAATCAGAGCATACATTCATTCATGATACATTGCAAAGGGCCTGCATTATATATTTTTTTAACTTTTTTTTTTTTTTTTTTTTTTTGTTCTGGGGATTGAACTTAGGACCTTGTGCTTGCCAAGCAGGCACTTATGCCGCTGAACTAAATCCCCAGCCAGGGCCTGAATTATATTTTAGGTTTGATAAAGCTACACTTTAAAAATTGTGTATAATTACAATAGGGAATTTATCTATCGTGTTTCTCATTCAGATGGCATATTAGAGTTGTCTGGGGACTTGAAAAGCTTATCTTACTGCTGGCGATGTGCACTGAATGGATTTGTACTGGAGCTTGGCATAATGTGTTCATAAGTATTCTGATACATAGTTAAATGCACAGAAAGATGTGAAAAGTGAGAGAATTATTTGTATCGCCCTTTTTACTTAAACAGGAATGAAAATGTAGGAAAATGAGAATTTCTACATACATTTTCTAAACCTAGTAGCCTCAGAGAGTGTTAACTGACTTAGACATGAGTATTTCTTTTCATTGCTATTATATTTTCCCCAAAATAAGACCAGGTCTTATATTAATTTTTGCTCCAAAAGATAAAATAGTGCTTATTTTCAGGGGATGTCCTATTTTGTGTACAATAGTCTACATTTATTCTCATACAGATAACCTAGATTTAGTCAAATACAGTCATGTCATCATCTTCTGGAACATCATTGTCACTCTCCAAAGCCTGAATTCTGACCTGAAATTTTGTCATTCCATTTCCTATAGCACCATTGGTCCAAGTGTCTCGTTTCCAGCAGCCGAGCTTTCCTTAAATGAATCACTCTTATCCATCTAACCTGCTTGTAGTGTGTTGGCAGCATAGCTGTCCATGATTTAATCCCATGGATTCATTCTTCATTTAAGTCATGACCTCTTGCAGGTGGGCTTCATGAAGTATCCATTAAATCAGGTGTTAATTGAAGACTTACGAGACAGGAGTGGCAATAAAAACGATGACAGTTAAAAATCTGAAAAATGGCAGACACTAAAATTTAGAAAACATTTTATTTCATACCAGCACATTGTGTGTATATTACAACATGTGATATATTAAATTATGAAAATTTATATTGCAGTCATGTCCATTATTATGTACATTATTCATACATTGTGTATATACACTGGTCATTCAAGAATAAATATCAGGTTTATCTATTTAGGTAAGTTTTACCTCTTGTTCAAAGACATCCAGTTGGGTATTTACAAATACTTAATTATAATTTATATTATCATTTACTTTAACTTCATGTCAATATTTTTTATAATTCATTGTGTCTGTTATGTGTTGCAACAGACATACTATGTTCATCTGGCTGACCATCTTAACTGGGGCTTGTTTTGGGCATAGAGTTTATATTAATTACAACATCATGAAAAAAATCATGCCGGGACTTATTTTCCAGTTAGGGCTTGTGTCGGGGGAAGTAGGGTAACATTATTTTGTCTCGGTCTGCCTTACATCTATTTTCAGTGTCTTAATTGCTTGCCTCTTTCAGTCTTTTTTTCCCCAGGTTTTTTAAAATTAATAACTTTATATACATAATGATTCTGTGCTCTTGTGGAGTTGGTACGTGTACCTAACACATGTTAATTTGTTTTTCATTTCCTTCCCTCACCTCCCTCCATCTCCTGGTTCTCTGCCCCTTTGTAAAAAGATCTCTATATTTCCCATTACTTACTTTGAGACCATAATATTAAGTGAAATAAATCAGACACAAGCTTAAATATATCATGCTTTCTCTTATGAGTTACCCCTTTAGGTCTTAAAATTTAGGCACTGTTTGTAACTTTACATATTAGTTAGAGATAGAGGAGGCGCTGGAAGATTAGGAGATGAGGAGGCTTTACTAATCCTGAGATATTTTCTATGAAAATAGTCTTTGTTCACCAAACTAGAAATATTTGTATCATCTTACATTTTTTGATTTCATGAAAACATTAAAGCCTTATGTTACATAGTTTGTGCTGTTATTTTAAAAATGGCAGTGCTCATATTTTTTTTCCTTCCCTTTGTTCTATATACATATTTCCTAAACTTTGAGATTCCTATTGGCATGTGCATTTCTAGTTTCTACCAAATGAGAGAACTTGTAGTATTTAGGAGTTCAAGTGAATGTGGATTGAATTACGTATAATATGCTAATAGAATATAAACTTTCTTGTGGGAAATACAGGATTTTATTCATAAATAGCCTGTTAGTCAGTAATTAATTTGTTTCTATTTTTAACAAATGCTAAAACTTAGAGATTTCATATTTTCAGATGGACCATCAACTGATAAAGACACTGAAGAAAAGAAAAAAGAACCTTTGATTACTTCACAGAATAGCCCTGAAGCAAGAGAAGAAAGGTATTTCACTTTGTGTTGATTCACTCATGTTAAAGTCAGATAGTTTTATCTGCTCCATTACTTCCTCCATGGTCTTCTGGTCCTAACTACACTTATCTTTTCACTTTGTGATCAAATGAAACTAGTATATTTATTCTAAGGTTTTTGGGAAGATTTCCTAGAAATTTGAGAAGTGGAAGACTGCATAAATAAAAAAATTACACTGTAGTTAGTACTTTTGATTGAATGGAAGGCTGGGGTAGGCAGCTAAACATTGACAGGGATGGACAGCAATTCAGATAGTTCCGTTCTCTCTTCCTTTTTAAAAAAGATGTCTTTTGGCTCTGGATCTAATTCCCCTTGCTTTTTTTCCTTACAAATTTAGCTATTTATCTGTGGAACTTAAAATGCAGAGTTTATCTGTGAATGGTTCAAATTGTTCTTCAGCTCTGTTGATACAGGAAATGATGTAAGGGCAATATAACTCTCAATCTGCTAGCTGTCTGATAAGCCGAGTTCATGTTCCCCAGAATCAAAGAATGAATTCTGAGGAACAAACGAATTTTAAGAGTAGGACATATTTATTGAGAGACAGAGGGGGGCCTGGAAAGTGGGTTGCCCACAAGCCCACTTTTCAAAGGAAGTTCTGTAGGGCAAAATCATGAGGTGGGTACAAAATTATGAGGAAGGTGTAAGGTAGGACAAACCTGTTATCAACCAGTAAGATTACAAGTATAGTCACCTAGGTAATATTGAACCAATGGGGAAGCAAGTGTGCATGGGAAGAACAAGGATCTTTCCTGGAAGGGATGGGGCAAGGTCAGTGGTCCCCCAACCAGGTGATTGATGTCTACTTAGAATAGCAGTCATTATTGTTATCCCTGAGGAAAGTAGAGGTAATTATTTCATCTTTGTCTTGAGGCCTGGCCTTCAGCGGATGTGCCGCCAGCTATAGTTGTATGTGCTCTCATCTTTGCACTGACTCTTTCAAGGGCCTAGCCCTGTCTGACTGTCTTGAATATTTTTGCCTAACTTTGCTGTCTGTAACACTATGAGTCCCCTGCATTTATTCTTTGCTAACATATACCATGAACTGTGTAGTCCCTGCATGTTACTGTTATGGATGTGTATAATAAATAAGTACAACTACTTCCTTTGTTCTTGGGAAGCTTAAAGTTTTTAATAGTTGACATTGACTTATAGCAGTGGTTCTCAAACTTTAATCTTTAGAAAAGCAAGGAGCCTATACCTGGGCCTTACCCTGGCACTCCTGAGTTAGGAGTTTTGGTGGTGACCCAGAATTCAGTTTTTAATAAGCTTTTCAGGTATTTAGGAGATACCCAGGTTTTACAAGCTGTGCTTTACAGCAGTAACTTCAAATCAAAACTCTTTTTCAGTCCCTGAACTTACTTACCTTACCCCTCCACCCATCCCGCCTTTTGAGAGTAGGTCTCATGATACAGTTCAGTCTGGTCTTGAACTAACTATGTAGTCTGGGCTGGCCTTGAACTTGTGGCAGTCCTTCTGCCTGGACCTCTTGATTCCTGGGATTATAGGCATGTGCCAACCTGCCTGGCCTGTCCCTAAACTTTAGACTACTGTATAAATCCACTTAGAGTCTTACAGGTATTTAGGACACTAAGGCTACTACCTATTTTGATTTTATTTCTCAATCCTTTGCCAAAGTTGGTTATATAGTCGTCATTCTTTTATCACATACACTAATTTTATGTATGATTAGAGTTAACTAGACTTGGAGTTAAAAAGAAGTAAGCCAGCAGGCTGAGGGTGTGACTCAGTGTTAATGCGCTTGCCTGGCATCTTTGAGTCCCTGGGTTCCATCCCCAGAACTGAAGGGGAAGCCAAAGGTAGAGCAGCAGCAGTTGTTCATAAAATTCATGTAGTTTTTATTTTGAGATAATTTTAGACATTTAAAAAATTTCAAAAATACTACAAAGAAATTTTTTTCTACATTTAAAAAAATTTTTATCTTTTGATCTTTTTGAGACAGGGTTTCACTATGCAGTTCAGGCTGGCCTTGAACTCACTTTGTAACCCATTCTGGCTTTGAACTCAGAGTGGTCCTCTTGCCTCAGCCTCCCTTAGTGCTGAGATTATAGGCATGCACCACCAAGCCCGGCATCTTTTTTTTTTTTAATTAATTAAGTTTACAAAAAAAAAAAAAGTTTACTGGTACCTTTTAGATACATATAATGATCACATTCATCATAATGAATCTGTATCTGTACCTATCTTGATTTTTTTCCCATTCTCCTATCCTTCTTCAACCCCCCTTCCCCTCTTCATTTTACAAAAAATTTTGCTTCCATTTTTACCTTTTCTCTTTTGTTTTCCTTTCTTCCTTTCCTCTGCTTTCCTCCCTTATTCCCCTTTCCATTTGAACATTTTCATCCTCTTTCACAGCATCTGTTACACATTTTGGTCTTTATTAAACCCTGTCAATTTCTCACACCACATGTATGTCCAATTTATTTCACTTGAGAATATTGTCTCAAGGCGCATCCATTTACCTAGAGATGTCTCAAGTTTATCTTTTTTATGGTTGAGTAGTGCTTCATTGTGTAAAATAACTGCATTTTCTTCATTTCATCAGTTGATGAGCATTTGAGCCGTTTCCAAGATTTAGCTGTTAACAGACTTGGCTGCTGTGAACATGGGTGTGCATATTTTACTGCAGTTTTTATAAATTCTTACCTAGTTGCCCTTATTGTTGTATGTGTATGCACATGAACTAATTTTATTTTAAAACTAAGAATGATTCTTAGAAAACTAAGGTGTTATTCCCCTTAAACCTCTAAACACTGTACATCAATTCATGTTTCCTAAGAAGTAGTATATATATATATTTTTTTTTACATAAAACTATAGTATAACCATCAATATCAGAAATTTAACATTGATACAATACTTTTTTTTTTTTTTGTCTTTTTCCTTTTTATCGGTACCAGGGCTCAAACTCACGACTGCCTGCTTGCAAGGCAGGCGCTTATGCCGCTGAGCCAAATCTCCAGCCCCTGATACAATACTTTAATCACAGACCTTATTCATGTTTATATTGTTTTTAAAGTATCTATTGCAAAGGAAAAATATTTTTCTAAATTGTTCAGGACCTTATTTTGCATATATTTTATCTGTTTGATTTTCTTTTCTTTTCTTTTTTTTTTTTTTTGGTGGTACTCATGACCTTGCACTTGCTAGGTAGGCACTTATGCCATTGAGCTAAATCCCCAGCCCTTTTAAAGTGGTTTTTTTTTTTTTTTTTTTCTGTTTGATTTTCTTTAACTGGAATAGTTTCCTACTCCATTGTTGTTTTTCCTGATCTTGATACTTTTAAAAGTATAGACCAAAAGTTAATGAATTTTTTAAGTGTGCTTCTAACTATTAAAAAAGTAGGTAAGGTCACTGATTTAATTTGAAAATGTAAAAAATAGACTTTTTTTTTTTTTTGGTCTTTTTCCTTTTTTATCGGTACCGGGGATCGAACTCATGATTGCCTGCTTGCAAGGCAGGCACTTTGCCGCTGAGCTAAATCTCCAGCCCCTAATAGGCAAATATTTTTATTAATATATGATGAAAGAGAAAATTCTTAACATATCTCCATCAGTTTTATGTACCTGAGGTTTAGGCATTACCCTGTCTACAAACCCACATTACTGTGTGTGAAGGCTGATAAATTCAGTGGTTGGCGTCTGTCTGTACCATACATACTCCCTGCAAAGCACACCATGGAAATGAGAGTAGAACAATACAGGTGCTTTGTAAAGAATGATGAAAGGTTAGGTGTAAATGACTTGTCACTAAGTAGGGTTTTACATTTTGGGTGGAAGAAACCGAGATGGTTATGTGTTTCAATGAGGAGAGAGAAGCAGCTGCATGTAAGAGACAAGGGGCGAACAGTAGTGAAGTTAGGAAAGAGGGTCCAGCAGTCCACTTGGGAGCTCTAGTGGGTGAGCTAGGCGTGTGACTTCAGGAATAGAGAAGAAAATGCCATTAAAGTATTTAAGAAGTGGAGGAGGTTTTTTTTTTTTTTTTTTTTTTTGGTCTTTTTGAGACAGGATCTCACAATGCAGTTCAGGCTGGCATTGGGCTCACTTTGTAGCCCAGGCTGGTCTTGAACTTGCTATGATTCTCCTGCCTCAGCCTCCTGAGTGCTGGGATTACAGGCATTCACCATCATACCCAGCAAGAAGTGGATTCTTAAGATTGATTTGCTCATTTAGTACTGACAGCTGTATATTGAAAATACAAAGATTTGGGGCTGGGCATTTAACTCAGCGGCATAAGCACCTGCCTTGCAAGCAGATGGTCATGAGTTTGATCCCTGGTACCGATAAAAATGAAAAAGACCCCCCAAAAAAAATTAAAAAAAAAAAAAAGAAAATACAAAGATTAAATCCAGGTTTTCCTCTTGAGCAGTGTAGTCTAATAGAGGGAAATGTATACAAAGCTATTTGCAAACTTTTGTGTAGACATTATTTTGTCAGTACACGAGAGATAAAAGAAGACCTTAGAAAAAAATGACTAGAGTTAGAAGCCACACTTGACTTTGTCCTCAGCAATCTGTTTTCCCAGTTTAACAATAGCTGTGTTTTGGAAAGAAGCCAGAGTGCGTATCTTCATCGCAAGTGTAGCAGGTTAAATCTGTGGAAGTGGGGGAATGTTTAATCAGTCTTGGAAAAGACTGGTAATAGCTACCTTTAATGTGATAAAATTTAATTGATTTGGGCCTGGTGGTGTATACTTATAATCCAAGTGGTGCATACTTATAATCCGAGCAGTCCAGACACTAAGGCAGGAGGGTTGCAGTGAGTTCAGGACACTTGAAACAAAATTGAATTGAAACTAGTCAGAAGAGTATTTTAGAATGAAGCTATTTTGGTAACAGTTCAACATAAGAAGCTAATCAGAAGCAACTGAGATTACTAGATTAATTGGGAAATTACAAAATTGTTCCAACACGTATTTGAATCAATGTTTCCAGGGACGTGAGACCTTTGATAGGCTCTAGACTTCTCAATACACATGGCTTTCCTTTGGAGAGTGTCTTGTTAGAATCCTGCTCCCTAACTAAAGTAGGGTTTTTCAATTTTTTTTCACCCTCTAGTTCTGTGGCATTGCCACAGTTTGTGATCTCATCCCTTCGCTCTTTTCCTCAAACCAAGATCTTTGCTTTTCATGCAATATAATAAAGTATAATGTGTATTTTCTGTATTAAAATATTGTTTGATGATTAAAAGGACAATAAAGGTAAAATATCATGCATTTTAAAAAATACATAAAACTTGTTCTTAATCTGTTTGCAGGCAGCGTTTTCCTTATGTAAGAGTCGCTGAAACCGTAATTTATTTAGGCAAAAAGTTGTTTTTAAAGTGAAAATAGTGTTATTACTTTAAGACCATTTTTCCTGAGGTTTTTCTTTTGTCTTGTTTTGTTTTGAATGTGGTGTGTTTTTAGTAGTTCCAGTGGCAATGTAAGCAGCAGAAAGGATGAGACAAATGCTCGAGATACCTACGTTTCTTCTTTTCCTCGAGCACCAAGCACTTCTGATTCTGTGCGGTTAAAGTGTAGGGAGATGCTTGCTGCAGCTCTCCGAACAGGAGGTAAGTCTAGTATATGTTATATGTTGTTTATTTTTCAGCCCTTTCATCTCTACTACCATCTCCACCCCAAGTAACTGTTTTACAAGCATCTACTCTTGATAGCTATCTCAGTCTCTGCCTAGCACAGGGAGTTGTTAATTGTGGTCTTTGAATTGAAAGTTGAGAGAAAAGAGTTATCTGTTTATTATTACCAAGGCATCCAAGAAGTTGATTCCTTTAATATATCTGCTTTTCCTAATTCATAAACCTTCCCCCCACAGATCTTTCATTTGCCTGCATTGAATTGTGCATTCACTTAACGTTGTCCTTACATTGAGAGTTAGTAATTGTTAAAAGTTGGTGTGGCATGTGGTATAAGTCTTGTATTCATAATTCCATTTTTCATTTTTTTAAAGTAGAAAAGCAATCTTTATTTTTTAATGGAAACTTTAATTTGAAGTATCTAGTTTTAATATAAAATTGTGGTTTTAAAGTTCCATGTATAGTGAAACATAACATGCTACTCCATAAATATGTACAATTTAAGTTTATAAATTTTAAAAAGAACAAGTTCCATGTGCATGAGTAAATGTCCTATAAATTCATACTTTTCTATTATACTGAACCGTAGCTAGTTTGACCTGTTTTTCTCCTCATTATGCTCTTTTCTTTATGTCTCTTTCTATGTATTTTTTCTTTTTCTCTCTAGCTTCTGTTTATTTCTTTCTATCCTTTTGCATATTTGTATAGGAGTCTTCTGAGGATATCCACCTATGTGATTGGCAGATGAATAGTTGCCTGGGGGAGGAGCCTAATGGGTAGTAAGAGAACAGATTCTAATGAAGCTAAATTAAAAGGATTCTTTATATGTTACAAATGGGGTTGAGGAAATAGCACAGCTTTAACTTACCTTGTACCGAACTTTTAATGTTACTGAATTCTTTGTGTCTGTTTTTAGATGACTACATTGCTATTGGAGCTGATGAGGAAGAATTAGGATCTCAGATTGAGGAAGATATCCTTTGTGTACATAATCATACTTGTTTGCTTTTTTTTTTTTTTTTTTTTAACTTTTTATCAGTACCAGGGATCGAACTCACGACCACCTGCTTGCAAGGCAGGTGCTTATGCCACTGAGCTAAATCCCCAGCCCCAATCATACTTGTTTGAAGTAATCTAAATTAATCATAATTTTTTTCTTTGATGTATAATTTAAAGGTTCATTTTTCAGTTTCACTTTTTTAATTGTACTGTTTTTATCAGGAAGGAAAGGAATAGTTTTGTCAGTTTATTTTGTTTCTTGATATCACTCAAAAGTAAATATACAGTTTTGTTCAAATTTTTATTTTTTTGCCTTCAAAATTGAAAATGTAGCATCTGAATTTGTGCAGAAGGGCAGGGGAAACACACATATCGGTGTGATTTCTCACAGTGTCCTGAGCTCATTATCCTGGAGCAGTAATGGTGAACCTGTTAGAGAGTTCAGTAGTAACAGCTAACCATGACATGCGTACCACAGGTTTGCCATACTGTTCTAGAGGGAAGTGTATTTGTGCTGGGTACCATAGAAAGGGCTCTGGGAAACAACCCTGATTATGGGGAGAACGGAATATGTAGGTGACAGTGTTGACATGATGCTGTCTACAGCTCGATGTCGGCTGTGACCTGACCTTCTGTGGAGAAAAACCTACTAAACTTAGTGCTTGCTGAGTCAGGGGAAGTGATTTTCCAGGGCCCTCTGAAAGATTTTCTCTCAGAAGGCCCCAGGAGAACCGTGGGGCCATGGCCATTGAAACTTAATATTCTTACTGGAATTCAGATTTGGGAAGTTAAGACTGTATAATTCAAACTCCTTTTCAAAAATACTTTCATTGTAGAATATGGACAAGTACAAACACATTCCACCTTATCTTTGACAAACGGGCCAAATGTATAACAAAGGGGCCCTAGTGTAAAAGAATCAAAGGAGTAATTAAGATGCCAAGTGTACAGTAGAGACCGAGAGAAAGGAAGAAACTGCTTAAAAGGAAAGAACAACTGGGACGGGGGAAAGGACAGAAGGAAGGGAAAAGAATGTGTACACACATATACACAAACACACGCAAAAGGTAGCTAAGATAACTATACAACTAATTCCTATTAGTTCATTCAAAAGAACAGTTCGTGGGGCTGGAGGTTTAGCTCAGCGGCATAAGCACCTGCCTTGGAAGCAGGCAGTCGTGAGTTCGATCCCCGGTACCGATAAAAAGGAAAAAGACAAAAAAAAAAGAACAGTTCGTGATTATATTGTTTGATCAACGTTTCATGCCTATATCTTGTAATCTGAGCAACTACTTTGAAGGTGGCAATATGCAATATGTTAACCATTGTTAATTACCTTGTTTTGAAATTCTCATTGTTTTTGTTTTTTCCTGTTTTTAAATAAAAATAGTTTAAATAAAAAATAGTTTTAAAAATTTTTTTAAAGATATTTAAAAAATAGTTTTAAATAAAAAAAGTTCACTGAGTAAGTAACAGTGTTTTTAAAAACTTGATTTTGCATGTTGCTAGCATTAAACATTGATTAAAAAAGCATTACTTATCCAGTGTATAAATGCACTAACATTATTGTTGGCCAGTTACAAATAAGAGAGTCAGACTTATTGTCTTATTTTTAACTTAATTTAAATTGGAAATGGCTTTTGTGACCTGTTTAGAAATTTCAGGAATTCTTATTTAGCTGAATGGAAAAAAAGTGCTCTTATCTTCATAATTTATTTTCCTTAATGGCCAAGTACCTATATATCAAGAAATAAGAAATACAGACATGAAATATAAAAATAGAGTACGAAGTAGGATATCAAATCTTAAAGATGCGAAGAATCCAAATTTAAGGAAAAATGTGCTGTGTGGGAATATTCCTCCTGACTTATTTGCTAGAATGACAGCAGAGGTGAGCATACCTTTATATAAAGTTTCTGTGATGTAATTCCATGATGTCAATTGTAAAACTTACTTAGATCTTAAAAGTGCTAAAGAAATATCATATATATAGTAAATTCTTACTAGTTGTTCTGATATATTTATCAGAATATTTACTCATTTGTGTTCTAATTTATATTTTATTTATGTAAATATTAAGGTTACTAAGTACTGATATGAATGATTTACCCCTTCTGTAACTGTTTTAATGTTCTTTGTGTAATACATTAAATCATTACCTAAAACCAAAATTGTTTCACTTTTTATGAATTCATATATGATGATGATTTGTAATTGTGAATAGACTTTGTATTCCAAGCCTTTTTTCATGAGTCAACACTAGAAAGATGAATTATACAGGGCCAGGGTTATAGCTCAGCAGGCATAGTACCTGCCTATGGAGTGTGAGATCATGAGTTCAATTCCTGGTACCAAAAGAAAAAGGAAAAAATGGAAATGTCAAGATTGATTATACATTATGGATTGTTCCTTAAGTTTACCAGGGAAAATGATGGAAAAAATGAAATTCATATCTTACTATTTATGGCCACTGCTGTTAATAGACAGTAGTTGTAGTGAATTTGTCTTTGTACATTGGTAGTAAAACTTACAAAGCTCTGTGTGGTAGTGCACATTGTAGCTCCCACTATTCAAGAGGTTAAAGCAGGATTGTGAGTCAACACAACCCTGAGTGACTGCAAGACCCTAGCTCAAAATAAAATTTAAAAAGGGGGTGAGAGGTGGAAGTGTAGCACAGTGGTAGAGCACTTACTAGCGTATTATGAGACGGTGTGTTTTCATTGCTCAAGGGTCAGTTTTGAGAATTTGTCACCATTTTGTTTATATATTTGATATTTTTCCTTTTGTTTGAAATAGAATCTTGCTAGGTAGTTAAGGCTGGCCTTGAACACACCATGTAGCCTAGGCTGGCCTCAAACTTGTGGTGATCCATTTACCTTAACCTCCCAAGTGCTGAGATTACAAGCATGCACCATCATATCAAGCTGTCATTGTTTTTATCTGTTACCCATTTTTCTTGGAATTTACTTTCAAGAAAATCACAAACATTATAACCTTTTATCTCTATATATTTGGTAGACATTTAAAAAAATTTTTTTTTCTTACAGAACTGTGCTTTCATCACATTTAACAAAGCTAACAATAATTTCTTGGTATTATGTAATACCTAGTTCATATTCGTGCTTTCCTGTTGATGTATTTACTTTATATTAGGATTTGGTCTACACATTACCCTTAGTTTTGGTTTATGAATGTTGATGAAACCAGGTTTGAATCCCACATTATGAAATTCTTTATCTCACAGTGTGAATTTGTGTTTCTTCATCATTTAATTTTTCTATCCTTCATAGTTTTTTTACATTGGGAGCTAGTTCTCTAGGATTGGTTACATTCAAGTTCAACTTTTTACCTGCATAAATATTTCATAAGTGATGCTTTTTTACTTCAGTGGTTTCACATCAGGACGCACCTAATATCTTGTTGCTTTCTTTTTAGCAGGTAGCCTTGTCCTTTGGCTTGCGTACTGATGATAATTCCTCCTGTAAATTCTCCATTTGCCTTTTATCTAATGAGTTCATCAACTAGTGAACACAAACTTAGTGAATATTTGAAGAAATGTTTAAAGAAAGCAAATTCTTTACAAGCACTCTGAGGAAAAAATAAGTAGTTTAAAGCTGATTTAATTTTATTAATATTGGGCCGGGGATTTGGCTCAGTGGCAGAAGCGCCTGGCTAGCAAGCGCGAGATCGTGAGTTCAATCCCTGGTATCGCCAAAAAATATTAACCTAATTGAGAATAAAAGCATTTAGGGTATAAGATGGAGATAATAAATGTTTCTATTTATATTTCTAACCATAAGGCCAGGGATATAGCTTAGTGGCACAGTGCCTGCCTGGCAAGTGCAAAGTTGTGAGTTCCATCCCTGATACCAAAAAACAAACAAACAAAAGTGTAGAAATATACTTGTAACTATGTGATATTGCAACCTCTCTCATAGGAAATGGCTAGTGATGAGCTCAAAGAGATGCGGAAAAACTTGACCAAAGAAGCCATCAGAGAACATCAGATGGCCAAGACGGGAGGAACCCAGACTGACTTATTCACATGTGGCAAATGTAAAAAGAAGAATTGCACTTACACACAGGTTTGTGATCCTTACATTCATACTAAGAACGTGTTCAGCTCCTGCTGGGCTGGTGATGCGTGCCTGTAGTCCTGGCACTTGAGATACAGAGGCAAGGGGTTCGGCACAGGTTCAAGTCAGCCTTTGTTGCACAGTGATTACAAGGACAGCCTGAACTCCATAGCGAGACCCTGTCCTACTCCCATCTGAAAAAAAAAGAGGCTTTCAGTTCCTGTTGTTTTAAACAAGGAACAAAGACAGTTACACAGCTTTCTGTGATATTTTTGAAGAGATGTGGTAAGAATGCTTTAATACCAATTTCAGTTAGTGAGAATAAGTTGATATATTTATACCTTCATGAAAACAGTTCCTGTAAAAGCTATAGCTAGTAATTAAATAAAATTGATAAAATATAGGAGGTAATAAAAATAACTATGTTATTTTCTGATTGCTCATAAACAGTTGGTAACTGGTTAGTATGTAAACTTTAAGGCCATAATTTTAATTTGTAGGCATAAAAAAAACGTTCTTCACTCTTTCACACAAAGTACCTGCAGGTGCTTCAGGCTCAACTGGCCTCCCAGTATTTATCCCTTTGTGTCACATGTTGATGACTTTTATGTGCATATATGATATGATGGACTTTTTTCTCAGTAGGCTGAAAAAATCGTGTTAGAGTTTTTTGATTGTATATGTCTGTGTAAAAATGGTTATTATAGTCTTAATTTAATTTGCCCCAAAAGATTTTTTGTACTAAAAATCTGCTGAACTCAAAATTTTCCCCTTAAAAAGCACATTATGTTTCATTTCTCAGATTTAGTAGTATATGGTAGAATGTTATATGAGCTTTGGCCTCTTAACTTTATATGGCATATATTACGCCAAATATACTTGATTCAAATATACTTGATTTAACTTTGTTTAAAGCCCTTTACCTTTTTGAAGTCTTTATTTCATCACAGTTGTGAATCTGGTGTTTTTGTTTGTTTGGTTGGTTGGTTGGTTTTTTTGAGGCAGGATCTCATTATGCAGTTCAGGCTGGCCTTGAACTCGCTTGTGGCTCAAGCTGGCTTTGAACTCACAGTGATCTTCCTGCCTCAGACTCTCACATGATGGGATTACAAGGTGTTCTCCAGCATGCCTGGCTAAGTCTGATTAGTATTTGATTTTGTGGAGGTTTTAATCCTGAAATGTATCAATATATGGTGAAAGTGGATTCAGAAAATTTCTAAGTTTGCATCGAAATACTTCCTTTTAGTTACCTAGAAAAATGTCAACAAAGTAGAGTGTAGTTATACAATCAGATTATAAGCAGCTAAGATAAAAAATACAAATATCAATGTTGTTTCTTTTAAGGGAAAGAACCTAGAACCTAGTCTAGAAGTGAATGCATATTTAGTTAGTTTGTTTGTTTTTAAATTTGTTTTTGTAGTTTTATTTTTTGTTTTTTGAGACAGGGTTTTGCTAGTCCAGGCTGTCCTTGAACTCATTATATAATCCAGGCTAGCCTCGAACTTGTAGCTGTTTTGCCTTAGCCTGCTGAGTGCTGGGATTAGAGATGTGTGCTATCATGCCTAGTGCTTCTTCAATTTTTTAAAAAAAAAGCTCCCAAAATTCCCATGAAAGTAACAATATAGTGTATTAAGTGTAGCTCTTGGTTACCAGGTAAACAGTAAGAGATTAAAAATTTTCCCAGTGAACAAAAGTTTCCTTATGTCTGTTTTTAGGGCCCCAGATAGTAAATAGTGAAATTTTTTTTTTTTTTTTTTTTTTTTTTTGTCTTTTTCGTTTTTATCGGTACCAGGGATCGAACTCAGGACTGCCTGCTTGCAAGGCAGGTGCTTATGCCGCTGAGCTAAATCCCCAGCCCCTTAAATAGTGAATTTGTATAAAGGCTTGTGGAAGGAGTGTCTCATCTGAAGGCTTCTTAGATAATTAAAAGGTGGTTTTTGAGAATAGTGCTTTGATACACCTTCCTTAGGTTTCGTGATTGCATGAAAAGTCACCTTGATAGGCTTCAGTTAGGAAGTTTCTGATCTTTGGAGGAGTGATTAACTGAGATTTTACCATCTCCTACTAAATTGAAATATATTTAAGGTACAGCATTGTTAGTATTTTGACTCTACCATAACTTAATTAAATTTAAGAATTTAACTTTCATATCTTCATAGGTTTGGAGAAAACCTTTTCATTATTCAGACATTTGGTCTCGGTACTTCTTTCCAGTGAAAGATGCTATATAAATATTTAAAAATTTTATTAGCTTTTTTCTTATTGCTGAGTTATGTACATATATGGATATATGTGTGTCTGTCTGTATTTATTTGAGATGAGGTTTGCTGTGTTTATGCTGGCTTTTAACCTCTGAGCTAAAGCAGTCCTTTGGTCTTAGACTCATGAGTAGCTGAAATCTCATGTGTATTTGCCACTGAGGTTGGTCTCTTTAATTTTTTTTAAGATGGGGTCTTGTTATGTGGTTGACTCAAACTTGCAATGATCCTTTTGCTTCAACCTCCTAGAAGCTGGGATTATAGACATGAACTTCTCTCCTTTTTTAAAAATTTTAGTTATGATAAAATATTCATGACCAAAAATTTACTTTGTCATCATTTTAAAGTTCAGTAGTAGAACATTTACAGTGTTGTTCATCCCATCCTCAGAATGGTTTTCCATTTGCAAAACTAAAATTTCAAACTCATTAAACAGTAATTTATGGTGGCACACACGTATAATCCCAGGTAGTCCGGAGGCTGAGGCAGGAGAATTGCAGATAAGAGGCTACCATGGGTGACTTAAAATCAAGCTGGAGTCAGCACTCCCTGGGTTCAACCCTTGGTACTGTAAAATGAAACAAGCCAAAACAAAAATCCAGTAACTCCCCATTTCTCTCTTCCATCAGCCCCTGTCAGCATTCATTCTACTTTCTGTCTCTGATTTGACTATTCTTAGTGCTTCATAGAAGTGGAATCATAAAATACTTGCCTTTTGTGACTTGCTTGTTTCACATATCCTCAAGTTGATCCATGGTGTAACGTAACATTTTCTTCCTTTTAAAATTGAATGGTATGCCATTGTATATACTACATTTTGTGTATCCATTCATCCATTGGACACTTGGATTATTTCTTCCTTTAGGCTATGATTCTGTGATGTATTTGGGCTTACAAATACCTATGTGAGACTCTTCTTCATTTCTTTTGGTTGTATATCTAGCAGAAGTCTTGCTGGATCAGATGATCTGTGAACTACTTAAGCAACATAGTACCTTCGTACAGATAATACATGATATAAATAATGATTTGAAAGGAATTGGATGTTGGGGCTTGAACTCAGAGCCTCTTGTATGCTAACCATGCACTGTATTTCTGAACCATACCTCCAAGCCTATGGAAAACTTTAAAATCGTTTATCCACCATCTAGAGCAAACAGTTAATCAGTATCTTGGTGTCTGTATTACTTTGTAAGTTTTTTTCTAAATACAGTTGGGAGTAACTAAAGTCAAAAAACTATTACTTTATATTTCTTTTGCTATTTACTATATATACTTCTTTTCCCTTAAGTAGTTGAAATGTATTAACCTCCTCTTTGTAAATATATGAATAGCTACTTCATAATCAGTCAAGTGGATGTACTCAATTTAGTTAATCAACTTATTTCCTTATTGCATATTTAAGTTCTTTCCAGTATTTGTACTATTACCAAATTATTTTCTTCAAATATCGTTGTATATAAATATTTATTACCATCCTAGAGATCAGATATTATTTGTTGGTTGTGGAAAAAGGGTATTTAAAGCTCTTATCTTATTGTTTAATTTTAGAAAGATGATGGCAACTACATATGTCAGAATAAAATGTTCTTTTTTAAAGCATCTTTGCAGATTTTTAAGAGAATATTAACATGTTTAAACTTGTACATCTGTGTTTCTTACTGATGAATATTTTTCATATTTGTTAGCCATTTGCAAAAGCATAATTTAATCGGTGGCTTTTGAGCATTAGTTTTCTACTTACTGGCATAAATTAAACATGAAAGACAAGGATTTGGAAAAATGAAGTTTGTACTTACATGCTTTTTTGACATCTAGCTCAAAAAACTTGTTGCAGAATCTTACATGTTTTATTGTGGTTCTATTGTGATGATTTTATATCTCTATGTAGAATATTCTTATTTAGGTTGGATGTTTTAATGATACTACAAAAGGTAATATATTGTACTTAATTTTGCTATAGGTACAAACCCGCAGCGCCGATGAACCAATGACAACATTTGTTGTCTGTAATGAATGTGGAAATCGATGGAAGGTATGGCCCCTTCTGGATTCATAGTGTACTCGTTTATAGTATAATAATTGCTTCTGGGCTTTTCATGTGTCTGCCTGGGTTTTTTTTTTTTTGTTTTTTTGTTTTTTTTAATGAAAAAGGAAAAAGACCATAATACAGATTTTCAAAACAGAATCATAGGGAATAATAACATATTAACAATGGTTAAATATGTTGTATATTGATCTCTTCAAAGTAGTTGTTCCAATTACCAGATATATTCATGAAAATGATCAGTGAAAGCACAAACTGTTCTTTTTACTGGGCTAACAGGGACTAGTAGTGTAATTATCTTTCATGTATATATATATAGTCTTGTCCCTTCTTTCTTTCCTCTTTTCCCCCACCCCAGTTGTTCCTTTTTAGCCATTTCCTCCCCTTTCACTTTCACAATATCCCTTATACATACTTCAGTTTTTTTGTACTAGGGAGACAACATGATGTTCACCCATGTGAGTCCAAACCATTTCATTCTTGAGCATGATCTCAAGTTGCATCCATTTACCTGCAAGACCCTAGAGAGAGTGTCCTTCTTCAGAGCTGAGTAGCACTCTGTAGAAAACCAAGTAGACGGCTCTCCTTGAATGCAAAACTTACCTGTGCATTATTTAAACTGATTCCTGTTTCCGTGTATTGACAAGTACAGAGCTGACTATGCTGTTTCTTTCTTGCAATGCAAGTAAGGCTGCTGAGGGCTGATATGTAATCTTTAAGGCCAACTGACAGGTTCCTGTTTCCTCACGTTGTGTTCCCCATAAATGATAGAACACAGCGAGATGGCAGAACCATATATCTCCAGGAATGTCAACTGGGCACTCAAACTTAAAATAAGAGACTGTGACTTCCAGGGCACAAAAGTTTACATATCAAGGGCCAAGGATTTAGCTCAGTGGCATAAGCTCCTGCCTGGCAAGTGCAAGGTTGTGAGTTCAATCCCTGGTACCAAAAAAACCACCCCCAAAACAGTTTACATATCAGAAACTAGAGCAACAGTATCCTAAATTCATTCATAGGTTACTACTCATTGGTCTTTCTGCACACCGTTCTCCCTGCGTTTTGCAGAGGCACCTTTCTCACCACCTGGCTAGCCCAGTTCACATTTCTCATGTAATTCCTGCCATACCTTCGAGCCATTCCCTTTGTGTGATAATAAATTCTAGATGAGGCTTTGATTAGGGCCTTTGTTCATATATCCTCACTTAGATGGAACTTCGGATCCCTTGGCTGCTCAGAACTTTGACTATGTCTTGGTGTCTTACTGTATGTTGTGGGTTGCATTGGAGGTGGTAGATTGGCATTACCTTGGTGGAATTCCAGTAACATTTCTGTGGGATAACAAATACAACTTTCCAGATTGTGAGGTGGGACAAAAAAGAGATTATAATATTTGGATTACAGTAATACTCCATTCTATAAAAATACCATATTTCGTCTTTTCTACAGTTGGTGAGCAAGCTATTCTTGTTTTTTTCTGGGTTCCTATTGCATGGAGTATTGTTTTTTCTCTTTTGACTTTTAGTCTGTGAATTTCCTTTCAAGTTAAATGTGTTTATTGTACACAGCAGAAATGATGGGTTTTGTTTCTTGAGCCACTCTGCCTATTTCTTTTTGTCAGAGAATTGAAGCCATTTACATTAATGATTATGACTGAAATGTATTGGCTTGTCTTTGTCATGTTGTTTTCCTGCTGTTGGCTTCCTATTTTTCCCCTCAGTTTAATCGCTTTCCCTGCTTGGTGATTTTTTTCATTCTTCTTTTTGGAACTGTGATCATAGAATATTTTTCAGTACTTTTTGTAGGATTGGATTGGTGGTTGTGAATTTCTTCTCTCTCTCTGTCTCTCTCTCTGTCTCTCTGTCTCTCTCTCTCTCTCTCTCACACACACACACACACACACACACACACACACACACACACACGGTCTCACTATGCAGTGCTGTTTGCAACTATCTTCCTGCCCCAGCCTCCATAGGCATGCGCCACCATGCCTGGCTCTTACTTCTCCATTAAGTTTGAAAGATTGTTTTTTAGGGCACATCCATCAGATAGAAGTTGTTTTCTTTCAGGATTTGAAATACTTCACTCCAAGCTCTTCTTGACTTGATAGTTTGTGTTGAGAAGTTTGTTGTGATTCGATTGGTTTTCTTGTATAGGTGATCTGTTTCTTTTCTCTAGCAGCTTTTAATATTCTGTTGTTGTGCTGAATTTTTAAAATCTTGATTGTTATGTGTCTGGGTGTAGATTTTTGGTTATAGCTAGTTGGGGTTCTGTACGTCTTACACACCTGTATATCCGGTCATTTTTCCATGCTTGGGAAGTTTTCTACGATTCTGTAAATATTCTCTTTATGTCATTTTTTGTTGATTCCTGCTTTTTTGTTGATACCTATCACTCTTTGTCTTTTTTTGGAGGGGGGGTACTGGGAATTGAACTCACAACTTTACGTTTGCCAAGCAGGCACTTAAGCCACTGAGCTAAACCCCCAGCCCCTGACACCTATCACTCTTAAATTAATTTTCTTTGTATCATGGTTCCTTCTTATTTTTAAGAAATCTTCCTGTTCATGATTGCTAACTGCAATCCTGTTTTCAAGGTCTGAAAGTCTATCTTCAGTTTTTTCCAAGCAGTTTTTCCAGCTTTCAATGGAGTTCTTAATTTCCTGGATATCTTTTTGAGTCTGTTTCATACATTCCAATTCTCAATACTGTTCGTTCAACATTTCCCTCATTCTCTTATGCTCCTCTTTTTTAAAAAAATCTATTTGTCTTCTTTAAATATGCTTAGTAATTTTTTTTTATGGTTGTCATTTCTTCCTTTATCTGAGATATTCTTTCTGACTTGATTTCTTTAACAACCTCATGAAGGGGCTGGAGATTTAGCTCAGTGGCATAAGCGCCTGCCTTGCAAGCAGGTAGTCGTGAGTTCGATCCCTGGTACCGATAAAAACAAGAGACCAAAAAAAAAAAAAAAAAAACCCTCATGAAGTAGTTTCTTTACTTTCAGAAATTTCAGGAGTGCAACTTCCAATTTCTTTCATGTCTATCTCCTGGTCTTGTTCCGTGTGGGCTGGAGGTCTGAGATTCCGTTTTGCTCCTTTGTCCTAATGTTTCCTGTGTTCCTCTGGATGAGTAGGTTTTGGGATCCTAGGTGCTTCCCACATTGGCTGCCCATACATGGTGCCAGAGGAATGGGTCAGGCACTTAGAGATTTCTCCAAATCTAGGTTCAGGGTGGGGGCACGGTGGGGCATGGGATGGGCTTTTCTGGACCTACATGGCCACACTGTGACTCATCAGATGGTGGCCGGTGGGCACAGGGGGATGTGGCTCCCTGCTTCTCCCAGCTTGTGCTGGCCCTGGGTGTTGAAGTTGTGCACATTTGCTTATACTGTCCAGTACTCTAGAAGCCCCCAGTTAACTAAACTAGTACTAGAAATAGTTAATTTGATATTACCAACAAACATACATGCTTTGGTGAGAAGAGAATTTTTAATGCTTAGTTTCTATAACACAGTGCTACATACACTATAATTCACTAAAGTGTTTCCTCTCTGCCCACAGAATTGACCCCAGGCCTTCATACTGAGCCATGTTCCCAGCCCTCTTTACTTTTTGAGACTGGGTCTCATTAGGTTGCTGAGCTGCTCAGGCAAGACTTCCCTGTAGTCTTTTAGCCTGTGTCTTGGAGTCCTGGATTATAGGCGCGTACCACAACACCTGATTCCTTTCCTCTCTTGTCTTCTAGAATGTCTGTACATGTTTATTTCTTGTACTATTTGATTTCGTTGTGAGAAATTAATGTTATTTAAACAATTCATCCTCGGGGCCGGGACAGTGGCACAGCGCCAGCCTGGCAAACTTGAGGTTGTGAGTTCAGCTCCCAGTACCAAAGTAAATAAATACATAATTTGTCCTGGAGTGGATGGTGAGCTACAAAAAAAATTTAACGTTTGGAAAGGATTACATATCCCAAGGATATTTTTATTAGTAATATGTAGGTTGGAGATGTGAGGAGTATGGGGTTGGGAGACTCCCATGGCAGGAATAAGTCTTTGGAGGTATAAACTGATTTTCACCTCCCTTCCCATCACTTACCAGCCACTTACCATCACTGGACTATAATCTTCTCATACATTAAGTGTAAATAGTACATCACAGGTTATAATAAGAAGACAGAGTGTAATATACCTGTCAGTGTTCCAAAAATGCTTGTTATTTCTGTCAGTTTTTGCGAAATTTGTATAAGATTTTTTTTCAGATACACTCACGGAGTTTTTAGTTTATTGCACATTTTGAATTATTCATACAGCTTAAAAAATTTTCTGAGAACTAAAGTGAGTTGAAGCTGAGTATAGTGGCATATGCCTGCAGTCCTAGTACTTTGGGAGACTGAAGCAGGAAGATTGTATGTTCAAGCCCAGTCTGAGCAGTTTAACAGTTTAGCAGACTTTGTCTTAAAAATAAAAAGACAACAAAAAAAGTCACCAACAGAGTGGAAGGATGACCCACAGAATGGGAAAAAATTTTAGCCAATTGTCCCTTAGACAAAGGACTCCTATCTAGAACATAAAAGGATCTGAAAAAACTCAGACTCCCTCAATTCAAAGACTCAGTCTAAAAATGGGCATCTGAGTTGAATACACACTTCTCAGATGAAGAAGGACAAATGAATACATAAAAATGTTCAGCACCATTGGTCATTGGAGAGCTGTAGATTAAAACAACACCATGCTTCCATCTCACACCAGAAAGCATGGGTATCATCAAGAAATCAACCAAAAATAAATGCTGGTGTAGCAGTGGGGGAAAAGGAACTATTCTCCTCTGTTGGAGGGAGCGTAGACTGGAGCAACCACTGTGGAAATCAGCGTGGAGATTCTTCACAAAGCTAGGATTAGAGGTCCTGTTTGATTCAGCTGTTCTCCTTCTGGGTACAATTAAAAACATACCACATACATGTGCACCCATATTATAGCAGCACAGTTTGTAATAAATAGCTCAATCTTGGAAACAACCCAAATGCCACCCACCAAGGAATGGATAAAAAGTATGTGGTGTTTTTATGTAATGAAGTACTACTCAGTCAATAAAGAAGGATAAACTTGTGTCTGTTATAGGTAAATGGATGCCACTTGAAACCATACTTATAAGTGAAATAAATGAGACTCAAATGTGTAAACATTGTGTTGTTTCCCTGATGTGAGAAATTGAAAGAGTAAATAATGTCTAAAATGTACATTGTGAAATGGGAAGAAATTGTTTAAAAGGAAAAAGGAACTGGTGGAGGGGAGGAAATAAGGGGAAAAAATGCAAGTTAGCTATCCTATTGGTGGCTTTTAGCTCATAGAAAAGAAAGGTTTATACTGATACCAGTTGGAGAATTTTGTATGCCCATGTCTTTTACCCCTTGTAACTACTTTTAAAAATGCAGTGTATTAAATACTGTTATTTTCCTATAATTTTATTACCTTTTTTCCATTAAAAAGTAAAAAAGAGCACTGTGGAAACATTGTGCTCTATCTTTAGCACCTGGTAGGAATGGGGGTGGAGGGTTGTTTAAACCAGACAAATCTTCCACAAATACAGCTGGGGACTTTGGCCCTAGGTACTGTGAGGATTAAGCCACTATTTGTTTATTATATACAAAAGTTCAGTCACCTGATTTTTTAAAGCACATTTGGCTTATCTAGCTAACACTCTTGTATTTGTTTTGCATGTGTATTTAGTATATTTTGAAAATAAGCAATTTGTGCTATAAGTTCTGTTTGGCATAGTATCTGATGAATTTCAAAACATTTACTTTAATGCAGGAAGCTAACTGAAATTAATTTTAAACACTAAAATCATTAAGAAAAGAGGTACTTAATAAAAACTACTAAATGTTTTCATTACTGTTCTGTAGTTTTGCTTTCTAATTTTTTATTTTTATATTTTTTGATGATACTGAGGATTGGACCCATAGTACTCACACAGAGCTATCTCCTTGGTCCTGTTTTTATTTTTATTTTTGAGACAGAATCTCACTAAGTTACTCAGTCAGGGCTCCAACTTGCCACAGTCTCCCAGAGGGCTTAAATTACAGGTGCATGCCACCATGTGTAACTGCCTGCCTGTTGTCATTGTCTCTGTGTCTGTCCATCTTTCTGTTTTTATCTCTTTCATTATTGGGGTTTGAATCTGAATCCAGAGGCTGTTGCCTGCTAGGGAAATACATTGTCATTGAGCTGTATCCCTAAACCAACCCTGTTTGATTTTATTTTGAGAAAGTCTCACTTAGCCTGACCAGGCAGGGTTTGAATTTGTGGTCTTTTTGCCTGAGCTTCCCCAACAGCTGGGATTGGGGTTACAGGAGTATGCCACCATGACTGCTCCTGCTAAGTTGGAAAATCAGCCATTTAAGGTAGGTGATGATGGTATGAAAAAAATACCATATCTTCTTAAACATGCTTTTTAAAAAGCAGTGTAAGGTATATGCTACGTGAGAGATATATATCATTGTTTGTTTAAAGTTCTCATAAGAATATTTCTTCTTTTTTGACAGTTCTGTTGAGTTGGAAGAATTGGATCTGGACCATTAAGAAAATGGATTTTGTAATTAGCTTTAAAACTAGGCCAAGCAATTAGTTTTCCTGCAAGTCAGATTTTTAAAATGACATACATCCCACAAATTAGTTTTTGGGTTTTGATCTAACATCCCTTCCTCAAATGCCTTCTGTAGATTCAGATTAGTAAGAAAACCATTCAATAATTGTATGATATGTTTCAGTACTTCTTTTTTCATTTTTATAAGTAAGTTGATATTAATCTTTTATTAATTAAACTTGACAATTTATTTTTATTTTTTTCTTGAAGTGTTCTTAACTTTTTACAAAACATACACGGTAGAAATTGTTCTTTGTTAATACATAAATAGAAATTACTTTTTTCTTATTGGCATGTACCTACAAATATTAGAGGAAGAAAAAAGGTAATATAATTTTACGTTTAACAAATATGGTTTGTATTCAAATAATTCTTGTCCAGCTTATCTAAATTGTACATATTTGAAGTAGTATCTGGTTTTTATTTTATTGTTATGTTCACAGACCTGCAATAATAAGGTACTATTTTGCATCTGTAGCCCTTGCTCATCATTTCTTGTACATGTACATTACTTGTTCTTAATGGAGTTTTCTTTTGGAAATATGGCTATGTTGAATTCAGTTTGGTTTTATTGTTTATTTGCCTGTTTGGCTTTGTGTAGTATGTTTTAGTTTTGCAGAAATTAAAATAGTGTAGTAGACTTTTATAAACCTTCTCACAATAAAAGAATAAAAGCTTCTGATGATTTTTTTCCTTCACAGGAAGATATCCTAGGAAGAGGTTGTTAGCATATTGATAGTGTCATTATTATAAATAGTTTATGACTTGATTTTAATATGAAATCTGACCAAGGATTATGCATAAAAATTGTATAGATCATTAAAGCTGTGGTCTTTTCATATGGAGATTGGTAGAAGGTATTTTTGTTTTGAGTCTTATTGGTTGGCTTTTCTGTTACATGATAAGATTGTGAACCAACTAGAAACTAGAAATGGGCTGTAGTGAAGCAGTCTTATAGTACAGATCTTAAAATTAAGTTTTACTTTTTGTTTAATTATATACCATTTGCTCTGTTAGGAATAAGTAAAAATAATTTTCACAGTTTCCTGGATACATTTGTTGTAGTGCATCTTAAAGACTACCAGTAGGAAGTCTCCAATTTATCATGCTGGGCCCGCAGAAAGACCTCTGTGTACATGCTTTGCACTCTCCTTTGCTCCCCCTCTTCCTGTTTCTTAACTGAAAATCATTTTGTGGTAACACAGGAAATAACATTTAAATGTCCATGTTAAGGATTGGCCCATGAGTGCCAACCCCCTTCTGCTTTGTTCACAGTTGAACCGTTTGCTTTATCATTTCAAAAATAAAGTACATTTTGAGAGAATGGGTTTAAGAATAATAAAGTTAAAATAGTCCCATTTTTAAATTAAGTGATTCATTTTGAAATTTGTAATTCAATAAAGTTTTGTTGTTGTTAAATGTGTATCACATTATCACATTTTGTCATTTTATCTATATGTTGAATTTTGTTTTTTCCCCATTTAAGGACTTCCCATTTTTCTCTAACTACTAAGATATTTTAAAATTACAGTTTTACTTAAGTGAAGCTTGGTCTTAAAGTAAAATCTAATGTTCAGCCTGTTTTCCTTTCCTGGACCCCCAGTGATGGAGTGCAGTTCTGAGCACACAGATATGTGAGTGCTGCTGTAGGTGCTCTTACCATAATATGAAAGTCTCACTACTGAAAATACTAACCCATTAAAAAGGAACTAGAAGTGAAGTGTTATGACATTTACTTTCAGGACAAAGTAAGTGTTAAATGAACGTAACAAGGAATTAAGTTAGACAGGTATTGTAGCATTAACGAAGAATCATCGTGAAAAGCAGAAAATAACAATCTTGGTTTTGTTTTCCACTTGAATGCGGATAAACATTAAATTACAAATTTTGCTAAACCATAGCAGCAGTTCTGAAATACTTACGTATACCCAAACGTACACCTTACAAATGTTTAAAGTATTAAGACAACAACAAAGTAATAGGCTGTGCTTTTGCACTTTTATAGTTATTCAGTGATTGTTCTTAAAGGTCAAAGTATAATTTGGGGAATTGAATTGATTTTTTTAAAAATAAAGCTGACATTAAAGAGCTGTGATTTGTGGGGTTTGAACAACAGTCATCCTCCACTTTCTTTTTAGTTGTAGAAAACTAGCCATTCAGGGGGAATTGAATATCTCACTGTGAAATGTGATTTGGATAATTACTGATAGCCGATCACCTGTGAAAATCTCATATGAAGAAATAGAATACAGATATTTAAAACATTACTGTGCAGGAAACAGAACAGAGATGCCGGCAGCATCCTAGGATGGTAATGGAAGAATTGTGTTGAAGAACCGTAAAGTAGGCAAATGACGAAGTTAGCTCAAAGCAGGGGGAAGTGCACTGGAAAAGTCTCATGACTCTATGTTAGTAACCAAGAACTGTAGTTTGGTAAAAATGAACCCAGTAAACTCCTATGGGAAATTTGTTCACTGCTTTATGGCTGTGTCTAGATGTCTCCCCAAAACCTCATGCAGTCAATAGGTGAGGCTTTTCAGAGGTGGCTGGATCTAGTATGTATCACACTTGAGATTGATCTGTGGTCTATTGTTAGGGTTAGGGTGTGGGGTAGGCTGGAGAAGACACAAGGGACAAAAAAGCATTGTTGGAGTCACTTACTTCTGTTATCTTCCACCTGCCATGAATTGTTTTTTCTCTACCAAGCCACCCTACTTTGGAGCCAGCCAATCTTGGAGTGAAACCTCTACAAAGTGAGCCAAACAAACCTTTGCATCTTTGACTTTGGGTGTTGGGCATTTGTCTTAGTAACCAGAAAATTGACTAAGAAACTGCTACATCTGTAGCACCTACCACACAGCAAGTTGCTTATGAAAGAGTTTCTCTTGGTTTGTGTCAATGCATTGCATTTCTTCTTGGCTGTGTAGAATTTAGGGTATAAAAAACATTCCATGAGGGCTGGGAATTTGGCTCAGTGGTATAAACACCTGCCTGACAAGCCTGAGGTTGTGAGTTCAATCCCTGATACACCCCCTCCCAAACAAACAAACCAAAAAAAAATTCCACAGATTGGGGACCTGCAAAGATGGAATGGTAATATTTTTAGACATCAGCTTTAAAGGAAGAAATATAAGGAACTAGAACCTTGGGAGATAGTCACTTTATTTAGTTCTACACAGTGAAGCAATACTAGAATAACTGAAAAAGTTTTCATGTCTGTGTATTCTTGTACTTGTTTGTTCATGTATAGGATGGGAAATAAAGGCATAGATAACTACCTGAATCACCTTGTGATTCTCTCTGGATGCTGTATCAGGACAGCTAATTTTTATTACTTTTTCTTAATGGCCATGGCTGCAAAGATGGAAACATTTCATGTGATTAAATTTGCCATATAGCCTGATTCAGTTAGCACACATTTCTATAAATGGATGACTGAACCCTTCCGGAATGAAAATATTTGAGTAATAATGCCAGTCTACCTGATACACAAAAAGCAAACACCGTGCCTGCGCTGGAATCAGAATAGCATAGCTATAGCTGTTTTTATTTTTTGGCATAGATTCCTATAACAGTACTTATTTTTCTATGACTAGTATGTTTCTTTTTTTTTTTTTTTAGGTAGAAATAATACCTGCATTCAGAGAAAAAATAAACAGTAAGAAATCACTGGTTGATGTTTACATATTGTCATTTTACAAATAGTTATTCAAGATACAAAAATGGAACATGTAAAGTGAGAATTCAAATAGCGAGACTGCAAACAGTTCTGTTCAACTGTTCAATAAAAACTTAGAAATATGGTTATCAATCCTATACACTTAAACATACATGCAGTTATCCATATCTTCAATTGTGTTGAGAAAGAAAAAACCCAAGCAGGCTAATATCACTCTGAACAGAGAATAATACTATTGCTGGGTTTCACATTATGACACACCATAGTCAGCACTGGGTTCTTTAGTGACTCTTTTTCCTCAAAGTATCTGTTCATTTCATCATGTGTCATAAGATCAGCTCTCATAAACTGTTTATAGATTCTACACATGCATGAGTCTTATAGCATGTATTTCTGTTCTTTCTATGTTAGAGGTAGAAGCGAAACAAAGCAAGACAGAACAAAACATATTCCTATAAACACATGAAACAAGACATATAAGACCATTGTGCAAGGACTTCTACCATAGTTCCTGTGTTGTCTCTTGTTATCTTCAATAGAACTGGCTATATCATCAGACATAGTATAACTGAATATATCATTATATAACAGTATTAATAAAAACACAACTGTATATAGCATAGAACTTCAACAACTGGCAGTTATCGAACCAGAATGTATGTCGTAGGGTCTTGTCTTCTTCAGTGTAGTTGCCTATAATCCAAAATTGATACTATCAATCATATTAGTTTTTTTTATTTTATAGAATCTGAAAATGATTTTATAAGTTCATATAAATTGCACAGAATAGTGGATTACATTTTGGTGTACTGCAACTTACTTATAATTTACATGGAATTTTTTTTTTTTTTCCGGAGGTATTGGCTTGGCTTCCGAGAGTCCTAAGCTCCAACATGGCGTGGATCTCAGGAGACACTGCTAGTTCTCCCCCTGGAAAGGCTGCAGTGGGCCACACTACCGCCGCTTACCAGGGAGGGGAGATGCTGGCTTGGCTTCCAGGAGTCCTAAGCTCTAGAATGGCATGGATCTCAGGAGACACTGCCAGTTCTCCCCCTAGAAGGGCTGCAGTGGGCCACACTACCGCCGCTTACCAGGGAGGGGAGATGCTGGCTTGGCTTCCGAGAGTCCTAAGCTCCAACATGGCGTGGATCTCAGGAGACACTGCTAGTTCTCCCTCTGGAAGGGCTGCAGTGGGCTAAACTACCGCCGCTTACCAGGGAGGGGAGGTGCTGGCTTGGATTCCCAGAGTCCTAAGTTCCAACATGGCGTGGATCTCAGGAGACACTGCTAGTTCTCCCCCTGGAAGGGCTGCAGGCTGCCACCCTGCCTCCGCTTACAGGGAGGGGAGATGCTGGCTTGTCTTCCAGGAGTCCTAAGCTCCAGCATGGCGTGGATCTCCAACTAGTATGTTTCATTCCTCATTTTGTCAGTCCTGTCATGTATAGCAGGATATCCTTTTCTATGAGTAAATAATATTCCTTTGTGTATACATAAATTTTTGTAATTCATTGGTCTGTCAGTGCACATATAGCTCATTTTTGTTTCTTGCCTATTGTGCTAATATTGTAAATGGCTTCTGTTTGTATTCTGAATCATGACTTCAATTCTTGGGACTAAGCCCTCAGAATCAGGATTAATGCCCATGTGCCCCACTCCATTCTGTACAGTGTGACCCCTGGTAAAGTGTTGCTGTGAGTGGCCAGACTCACTTGGTGGCTGCAGGCTGGCATCATGGGATGCTGTGTTGCTGAATGGCTCTGCTCACAATGCATAAATTTACAGAGAAATATGAGTGGATAATCACAGAAAAAGGAATTGCAACAGTGGGAATCAGCAATTTTGCACAGGAAGCTTTGGATGATGTTTACTGTTTGCCTAAAGTTGGGACAAAATTGAAAAGGCAAAGTGAAAGCCGCCAATGAACTCTGTTCTCTATCAGAAGTAATTGAAATTAATGAAGCACTTATAGAAAATCTGAGTTGTCAGTAAATCTTGTAATAAAAATAGTTGACATAAAGATGACGGTGAGTGACCCTTCAAAGGTAGATGAGTGAAAAAGCTATTCTTTCATCAATGTTTTGTAGTTTTCACTTTATCTGTTATGGTTGATATATTGTGTCAACTTGAGAAGCTTAGAAATTTAACTACCAGAATCAGCAGGGAGCCAGGATCCTTGCTCTGTAAATATCCTCATCCTGTGTAAGAGGAGGGCATAGAGGTGATGTGAATGCTGCTTCTGCCCTGGAGGTGGGGGCTCGCCTGTTTATAAGGAGGAGAAAAGCCTCAGGCTCCCCCCCACCCCATTTTTGCTCTGGCTACTTTTGCTCAAGTATTGCCCCTCAGCCACACCACCCTGCCGTGGAGCCAGCAGGTTATGGACTGAAACCTCCACAAACTGTAAGCTAAGTAAACCTTTCCTTCCTTCATTTTGGACATGTAATATTTTGTCTCAGCCAGGACAGAAAAGTAGCTGTGAGACAATGTCTTTTACTTCCTTATTGTTTATTCCTAAGATTGCCTTATGCTACAGCAACAGTTATTTTCTTAATTTATTTTTCAGATAAACAGTTGTTATGTATAGAAATTCTGTGTGTTGAATTTGTATCTTGCAACTTTATTAATTCAAATTTCTTTGTTAGTCCTAACACATTTGTGTGTTTGTTAAGACTAGGACTTTCTACTTAAAGATCTCATTTGCACATTATGATTGGAATACCTTTAATTTCTTTTCTTGCTTCAGTGCTCT